TCTACACATTCATGAAGTCGACAAACTCGAAAAATGTATGAATCAAAATATTTTTTAAAAAAAACTGGCTTTCTATTGTTTTATCAAAAATAAATGATAGAGCTGATAGTTAATCTCTATTTTTCGATCTATATATCCTAAAAGTATTTCAATGTTTTGAATAGAAAATGAAAAATTTACCTAGCTTCTAATGCAAAATGTAATTGTGTTTCTGCTTTAAGTATTGTTGTACATCGATGAACAAATCGAATATTACGAATTATTCGTCGTAAGGTTTTTGATATATCACCATAACGATCTTTAACTTCTACAAATGGACGTTTCCAGAAATTTGGTTCATTACTTGCTTCTTCTAGTAAAGCTGGAAAACTATCTAAAATTTTTTCTGTTTCTGCAAGTATATTCATTAAATCAAATGTTTCTTTATTTGATGATATTGTTTGTTGATCTATTGTAATTGAATTTGTTGTTGATGCTGTTGGTCCAATAAACGAACAAAAATCATCACAAGCTGATTTTAATGCAACAGATACATTATTAACCATAGTTAATGCCTTAAGAATAATTCATTTCACAAAAAAATTAAAGTAAATAATGTTATATTTACCCTTTTTTTAGTTAATCTTCGAGCTGATATAGGTAATAGAAGATTGGAAATGAAAACATGAATAAATATTCCTAAAAAAGTTAAACTTGTTCGTGCTAAAACTGCTTGTCTTGATCCTTGAAAACCTTCTTGATGAGAAAGAAATGTTATTATTGAAGCTGATTGTCCACATACAACAGCAAAATATTCTTTTTGTGGATCTGTTTTAATATAACCCATTAATGCAACAAATAAAGATATAAAAATTCCAATAGCAAGTTGATTTTGTGCAATAAGTACAATAATGTAAGCATAAGTTGAACCAAGTAAAACAGCTACTAAACGATGAAATGATAAACGAAGTGTACCACCTTCTGAAGACTCTGAAACAAGTGCTGTTGTCATCGGTGCCCAATATACCCAATTAGCTGCTTGTAGACGTTCACGAAATGTTAGTGCAACAATAGCCGATACAAGTACACTTAAACTTGTTTTTATAGCACGTACAAATTTACCAAACGATGGTCTTAATCCAATATAATTAGCCAAATGAGAAAATATTTTATTACAATTAAATAATTTTGTTGTCATAGATGAACTTATTGTTTGTTCAAGATTATTATCAAGACGAGTACCTGGTGTTTCACTTGTTTCAGCAGCTGTTATAGTTGAATGAACAAGACGTAAAACAAGTAGAAGAAATGTATTTAAACGTATTAAATCTGAATTTGACATAATCAAATGATTTGGATTGTCACGTAATTGTGCATATATTTCAAAAAAATGTTCTAATGCTTCTTCAACTTTTTCTCTACATGATCTAATTTGTTCAATATTTATACAACTAGACGATAGTATTGTATATGGCAATGAAGCATCCAATAAATTAAATGTTGAATCAATAAGAAGACATATTGCCTAAAATAATTAATTCTATTTAAAAAAAAGTTTTTTTCCTAAATTCTAATCAATTAGCTGATTGAAATCAGAATGAAAGCGAAAAGTAGCCATTGTGAAATTCATTACTATGAGAACTCTATTAATAGATACCAACATGATATTGTTTCGAATGAAAACGAATTGATTGGTCGTTTTATTTTCTTTTTAATTCAGTATTTATCATCAACTGTATTCACAGCTGTCATATATATAAAATCTTTTGTTCAAAGAATATCGTGGCTAACTATTGTTGACGTTGTCGTTTCAATTATCTCGAAGCTAGGAAAAAAACGAAGTTCAGAATAAATTGTCTTTTCCTACTCATGAGATCAAAAACAAAAATCCAAAACATTAGACGGTTTTCTTCACGTTTATATCAAAAACACGAAAAAAATGGCATTTCTGATGATGATGACACGAATAAAAAAAATTGATGCTTTTTCAAAATTTATTGATGAAAAGTGACATTTTAATTAAGAAAATGCAGTGAATTTCATTTTTAATCAAAATCATGTAATGAAAATGTATATTTTAATCGATGAATTTAAAATACGCATATTTCTTTTTTTGTTCTTTTCATCATTTTAATGTAATTTTTTTATTCTTTGACTCCCTGAATTGTCTCATCTTAAACAAACGTAAGATTTTATTCAACATTGGAAACTAGATAGTATCGATTCGATCTTGAAGTTTTAATTTCCCATTCTTGAAATCATCAGGGCTGGAAAGGGTTGTGCTTTGTACCGCATTAACAAAAATGAATGCCTATCATTTGCCGTAAGTTGTGGTTTCTTGAATCAATTCTGGTGATCAAGTAGGGATTTTTTTAAATATAAGATATACTATATAAATCATAAGCCAATACTATCCTAATATTTATATCATATTATACACGTGTTTAACAACTCAAATACCATGTTATTGATAACAGTTTAACATTGAAATAGTAGCTTTCACAAAGTATTTTTTAGGTACGATAGCTGACTAATTATAACTATACTATAGTGTTTATGTTTGTATCGTCGATCAAATATCTGTTATTCATTAGTTTTATAACACTTCTATCATTATGCTTATTGCTAGTGCTTCTTATTAAATATTAGTGCAACTGTCACAATCAATAAAAGTCTTTGCTCTATTTCTTACAAAAATTCAATACGAAATAAAAGATAACTTTCTTATTACTAGGATATCGACTAAAAAAAAACTCGAAAAACATAGTAATCATTCTACTTCTAGAAAACAATTACACATTTTCTATCCTGTCAAAACATACATTGAATGATGATAATAGGAAATGATGTACAGATGTCAGCTATCAAAACGAGAATTTTGTTTTTACTTTTAAACACAAGAAAGTTATTTTTGGTAATTCAAAATATATTTTGTTTACCAGATTAATTACAAAATTCATTAATAATACATTCGTCTACTTTCATCTTACTTTGTTTTGCAGAGTACAACTATTAGCAGTCGTTAGTTAAAACTGCTCAATTTAGACTTGTTCTCGAATGTTATTATGTCATGTAGTAGTGTGATATATCTTATCCTAAAAAAAAAAATCTCTTCGTGATCATTAGAATTGATCTTGATTGATTGATTATCTAAAAATTTGAATATGATGCTAAAGATTGATTAAAGAAATGAGAAATCCTGGCGAATGAGACGTAATCGAAACAAAAAATCTTACATCAATTAATTGTCGTTGACCAACAAATGCATGATGATGATGATCTAATGATAACATGCCAGTAATTGTTCTTTGTATTGAAGCAAAACCTGTTACCCATACTTCTAAACGTAATTGAAGTGTTGATGGTTGTTTATTAATAAATTTGTTAAAAAATGGTATGTAAGAAACGATATTTCTTATAAAATTTAATAATTTTAATAATATAAAATATGGTTCAAATGAAATTTCTGTTAAAGCACGTTCCGTTTGTTTTAATTCTTCAACAACAAGTGAATGTAAATCTTCTATATCACTTTTAAGTAAATGATCATCTTTTAAATTTTCAAATGATGTTGAATAATTATAAGGATCATCTTCATGATAAGAATTTTTTGGTATATCAATTTTATCTTCATCAATAGTGTTACTTTTAAGTTTTCTTTGATTTGTTTTATAATCATTATCATCACTTAAATGTACATTATGATATTCGGATATAAGTAAAACAATGGCTGTTATTTCACGTCGTATTTGTCGAGCAATAAATCTCATACGGCTTCTTAATTCACGATGTGCAGTTGGTAGAACAGGTAATGGAATACATAATGCAATAATAGCTAATGCACCACCTATTGATAATGATGCCCATGCATGAAGTACATAGAATGTATTTATATAAGGTTTATTAAACCATTGCACAAGTATAATACATGTTGGTAAAATTGAGAAACGACGAACAATTGCTGGTAAATCTGTATATACGATAAAAAGAACAAAAACATTAGTAGCACCAACAGCAAAATAAACATTTCTTGGAAGAAAATTAACAATAATAAGACAATAAATTGCAGCAATGGCACCACCAAGAAAAAGACGACTACTTGCTTGAATTGTGGCACCAAGTGTGTTTTGTATTGCAACTATGAAACCAAGACCTAAAAGAACTTGACCTTGGATTACTTTAGAAGTTATTGGAGAAAGAGTAAATGCAGCACAACACTAAAATTGAACACAAAACAAAGATATATGCATATATGAAATACTTTCATTATTAACTTACAGCAATTCCGAATAGATTTCTTAGAGCAAAGATTATTCGAGCTGAAAATCTTGGTAACAATGGATGCCAACATGTGAAGCGTGGTAAATATTGATCTGATTGTTTTACAGATGTCATGGCGAAAACTAATATGCCTGTATCATCTACAATTATGATCTATAATATATGTAGATCAGTAGTAATAAAGTCATTAGCCTACTATATTGTTTCGACAAAAAACAATGGAAAGAAACTTCTGTCATTCTTCTCTTTTTTTTTCCATTCCTTCATTGTCAGTCTATTATTATAAGTCAAATATGACTCATATTCTATTCTCTTGTGTTTTTATAATTGAATAAGAACTAGGATTTTTTTTAATGTCCTTTTTTTTTTGCTTTAGTTTCTCTTTCCTAGTCGGAGGACCAGGTAGATATTAATCATTGTTTTATCAAAATGTTAGACGATCCAAGGGGAAATCAAGGTAAAACTTGAGAAGGTAAGGAATCGAAGAACAGAACGAAGGCTATATGTTGTTACCTTTGTGCTGATAGTGCCTCATACGAAAGGAAAAACACAACTGTTTTGTTTTGTCTAACAATGTTTTAGTGTTTTTTATTTTTATGATAAAATGTCACTTTACCTTATGAAAGATTTCTGTGTTATGTTTGTTTTTTTTTTTTTATTTCAGCTTTTCTTTTTCATTCGTAAACAACTAGTTTCAATTAATTCAACGCTAGGGAAAAAAGAACCTTACGAAAAGATTAATGGCTGATCGACCTACAAAACACGGTCTTGCAAAAGAAGCATTTGATAAAGTATGTAAAAAGTAATAGATAAAAATTTTTTGATTATGATAAAGTACTAAATTTTTACATGGTTAAACGACACTTCGAACTCTTCGATATAACTTTGTTTATGTGTTTTCATTTGTGTCATAGTTCATTTAACTAACACAACAGATAATTGGATTTAATCACATTTGATTAATATGCAAGTACCAAAATAAATAATTATCGGTTAGAATTCAATTTTCTCTCTTTCTTTTATTCAATAATTTCTAGAAGTATTTTATTTTTAAAAGGATCCTTTTCCTTTTTATCTTCTCTATTCACATGCGCATAGTAACATGTTTATAACATGCCTACATGTAAGACATTTTCTCTCTCTCTCATTGTCTTCCTTCATATATGTTTGTAAATATAATCGATTCGCGAAAGTGAAAATCAAATAGTAGAAGACAAAAAAAAACACAGAAAGACTTATACATAACATTCATCGACTAAACATTCTTCAAATTTCGACAAAAAGAGAAGTCTAAAAATGAATATAGTAGTTCGTGCTCCAAAATCTGGTTTTGCTCAGGTCGCATGGGAGAAGGTCGGTGATGAAATGATTCATTTTACTAAATGATAGTAATTTTCTACTTGTTGTTTTATTTTGATCGATAGGTTCAATCAAAATATGATGTTGCACATGCTCATGAAGCTTTAGAATGGATTAGGGAAATTATCGATGAACAATTTGACACCAATGGTGATATGGATAATGTTTATAATCAATTAAAAGATGGTCGAAAGCTTTGCCGGTATGTATTTATGGGTAGTCTCTGATTTGATTTCATTTGATTATCTCTGAGTGCAGTCTTAATATGATCGATTGTCATGATAGAAAAGAATAAGCAGATAAATAAAAAACTTATTAACATTTATAACGCACAGACATGTTAAAATATACAACAATAACAACAACAACAAAAAAAAGAATTCTTTGTCTTTTACTTCTTAATAAATTTCGCTTTTACGAATTTTGTTGTATTGAGTTTCTGCTTGTAAATCTTGATAGTTAAGTATAAGTGCATTACACTGTGTATTTGTAAATTGTTGAATTATTATATAGATTCTACTCAACCAATGACCATCCGAGAATAAATACTCTAAATCACTAATCATGAAAATAAGTGAAGGCTTATTATTTCCTTTTAATTTGATGAGTTATGAACTAACTGAAAAGAGATCTAAATGAGAAATTATCAAATGGGACCGAAGATGGAAGAGGGTAAAATGTCATTATATATATTATATTATTTCTATTTTTTTTTTTCTTATTTTTGCTTTTAGATTAATGAATTCTATTGTACCCAATTCTATTCCAAAAATTAATAATAGTAATTATTATACAGTGAATGTTTGTATTTTTTCTTAATATAAACGATTTTAGGTGAAAATAGTTTTAAACTTATGGAGAATATCGCTCGTTTTGCTGAAGCAGCTAAAGTTTTTGGATTAACTGACGCCGAAACATTTCAAACAGTTGATCTATATGAAAAAATGAATCTTCATCAAGTTATTGTTTGTCTTTTTGCACTTGGTCGAAAAGTAAATTATTTTCATTTATTATTCTACGAAAAAAAAAAAACTTTATATTTAATTAGGCTCAAAAACAAGGTATGCGTGGTTTAGGTCCAAAAGAAAGTGATAAAAATGAACGAACTTTTTCTGCAGAAACATTAAAACAAGGTAATATGGTAATTAGTACTCAATATGGATATAATAAAGGAGCGACACAAGCAGGCATGAATTTTGGCAATACACGCCATATGTAGCGTTTTTGTTTTAGTTTGAAGTCTTGTCTTCTTTTTTATCTTTTCATTGTCTATCTATGATTGTATTCATTTTTGTTCAGTGTTTATTCCGTTTGATTATGTATACTGAAAAAATTATTTTTATTCTTTTTCAAAATAAAACTACGTTGAAACATAGTTAAATACTAATTCAATTTTTAGAATAAAAATATAGACGTGAGCTTACTTGAGTCACTTGTTAATAAATATAGAGACGAATGATTTATACTTAAGTATACATAAAGAAAAAATGACAGCATAGGACGATAAGAGATATATTTATATGATTTATCTTCTATGGATCTTATTAATACGTGTTACTTGTCAATGGGAAGTATAAATGCAGTCAACCATGCATATATATACATATATGGGATATAATGAAATCAGACAAGTAGTCACACTTAAAACGAAATTTATTTCTTTTTCATAATATTGATGAAGCGTGAAAGGCAACAGATTGCAATAATAATTTGTATAAAAAAATTAATTGTGTTTGAATACCTTTACAGTAGTGCAGAAAATGATTCAAATGCAAAATTACCAGGGTAGATGAATAATATTTACCATTCTACATTATATTTCAATTGATATGGCTTTTAGTAGACAAAGATTTTTATTTCCAATTAACTCCATAAAACATTTTTCATGCTAAAAAATGTCATGCTTTTAATATATGAAATATAAATTGTGATTTATGACATAAAGATTTCATTCTATATGTCTGTAACAAGTTGCCTATAAATAATTGCACTCTTGGTATTTTCAAAATATTCTCTCTATTTTCCCCTGGATGAAAAAACCCTTTCTCTTTGATAAAAAAGTAGCGTTTACAATTCTCTACAACACCATATATGATGAAATCCAAAGATTGTTATACATATATTTGAAAAAAAAATGAAAAATACAGACATGAAAATAATCGTAAAAATGAAAATGGTGGTAAACATGCAAAAATTTATAGTGACTCAGATGGAGCGATTTCAAAAGGTAAAATTGATTTGTAAATAAAAATGATCAATAGCACTGTCTCTATCAATTCGTTCTAATATCTCGATCGTTCACATACAATTCAAACAAAAGTACATGTCACAAAGGTGAACTGATGTTCTACTTGTCAATAAACAAGTGTGAATAAAAAAATAAATAACTATTCAAACAAGGTGCATATCGCCATTACCGCATAAAGACTTTAGTTATTTCCCATAATAGAAGGTTAAAGAGGCAACCGTGATTGATGTGCACAAAAAAGAATGGACCAAATTTGCAAATTGGATGCTAACAGAAATGCTTTTAAGGTCAATGTGCGTTATCTCAGTAACAAATTAGTATACAGACCATTTTCATGCACTCATACCGAAGAAATATTAGTTACAGAATCTACGTGATTCAAATCCGTAAAATTATAGTGTATGGAATGAACTGACTGAAACTACCAATTGAGACTGCATAACAACAAAAGCAACATTAATAGACGAATTAAAACTTTCTATAGACAAAAAATTGAGAAAGAAAAAAATTTACATTCTGTACTTGATATCACTGTACGATTACATTTGATCCGAAAAAAAAATGGAAGAGTCTATATTCGTCAAATCAAACATACTGATTTGTGCAGAATTTCAAGCGCTATTTTTTGATAACAATTAAACAGTTTTGCCAATCAAACGTAAGCAAAAGGAAAAACGTTTTTGAAAATACTAAGAGTGCAATTATCTATGAACCACTCATTATATTTATGTTTGGTTTTGTCGATGAAATTCTTCATCAAACAAAACAAAGTTGTTTCTAACACTGTCAATAATAAAATCAAATATTAATACTTAAAGAAAATTGACCAGCGTTTCAACCCTTAATAAGTAAATAATGTAGCAAAAGCTTTTAAAAAATTGAAAAGTAATAATTAACTAACCATAAAATTAATTTTAATGCATATAGAATAACAGGATATAAATTGATTTGTTAAAAATAATTTCCAAAGAAATAGAGTTACATATGGAATTATTTATTAAGAATATTCAGAGTTTTCAATCTTCACTACTTTCGATTTGGCAATGTCATCTGTGACCTCTATCTTATATATATATATATATATTCAGTGACGGTTTAACCGTAGGCTATAACACTTCTCTGTTACGTCGTGAATTCTGTTTGAGACGCACCTATTAAAGATGCCAGGTGTTACAATGATAATTATAGTACATGACAAGGATGAGAGAAAATCAAAATCGAATGTAAAAGAAGATCCAACAATATATTTAATAGACAGAAGGAGAAAGTACAAGTGAATGAAGACGTGCCTGAATGAAGTAAAAAATATGGATAGAGTGAATGTAGCTAATGAAAAATTAAAATAAATCAACATCAAAACATAATGTGCGTGAGTAACAAGAGAGGGAGGGAAATTACAGAGCGAAACAAATACACATACATAATAAGCATCAAAACAAAACATTAGTAACAGTTTTGTTACTTTCCTCCAAGGTTATGGAAAATTTTAATTTTTTTTTCACTAGAGTTGAAATTCTCTTGTTGCATTCTGTTAGACGAAAGATACTCTTTCTTTGCGAAAAATCACATCATGTCATATTTCCAATGTCGACTGCTATCAACCACGACTGTATCTATATATATATATATTCCTAATAATCGAGAGGTTACAAATGATTTGTTCTAAATTAGCATAAAATATATTTAATACCGAATGTGAGCATCATAGAGTTAATTATGTTCACTCTCTAGGCCTTAATCACAATGTCTCAAAATATGTTATGCAAAATTTTTATAAGAATATGGTGTCTTCTGACAACAAAAAGATTGTCGTCTCATGTTTTTTTAGTCTATTGAATTTTTCATTGTAATCATTTTCTAGAAAATGTGTTTGACAAAATAAATTTTTGTTATAGTTACGCTTTTGTTCGTTGTGTCTATCATTTATTCGTGTTTATTCTCTGTTATGCTGGATTGAAATAGAAAAAATGCAACAAACAAATATGATCATTTTGTTGAAAATACATTCAAACAAGAAAAGAACAAGATCGAATAACATGAGCATAACAAGAACAAAAAAAAATTAAATATAGAAAACTTTTTTTCCAGCATACATTAAACTATTTTTTTGGTGGAGCAAAATCAGGTTGCATTTTTTGCCGTAAATATTCTTTATAACTAAGAATATCACCGGGCCATTCTTTTACTTCTTGATTTTCACAAACCCAAATTTTATCAGCTACCTAAAGAAAATATTCAGAAAAAAAAAACAAATTTTCCTTCAATTCTATCATTGTTATCTTGTTTATTTACTTGTCTGATTAAACGAAAATCGTGACTAACAAGTACCATTCCACCAGAAAAATTTTTTATTGCATCTGCTAATGCATCAATTGTTTCAATATCTAAAAAGAAATTCAAATTAAACTTAATATTCAATAGACGCATTATTTATTTCTTTTTTTACCAAGATGATTTGTCGGTTCATCAAGTAGTAATAAATGTGGAGATTGCCATGCTAACCAAGCAAAACATACTCGACATCGTTGTCCATCAGATAAATTTCTCATTGGACATATTTGCTGTCTACCTGTTAAACCAAATCGACCAATAATTCTTCTCATTTCTTCTTTTTCCGTTACATCTGGAAAACATTTCATCATATAATCAAGTGCTGATAAATTTAGATCTAATTGTTCAGTTAAATGTTGATGATAACGACCCATACGTAAATGTGCGTTACGACGTATTTGTCCTTTAGTTGGTAATAATTGATTATCAATTAATTTGAGCAAAGTCGATTTTCCAGCACCATTTGGACCCACTAATGCAACACGAGTATCAAGATCAATACCAAAATCAAGATTTGTATATATCCAATCCTTTAATGAAAACATTTAAAATTTAAAATTTATACAAAAAATTATTTTTACTTGATTATCTGAATAACGAAAAGCAACGCCTTGAACCATTAAACAAGGTGGTGGAATTTTTCCTGGATCAGGAAAAGCTAATGATAAAGTCTATTGAAATATATAAATATAGAAAATGAACAAAAACAAAAATTAAAAAATAATACTTTTTCTTGAACAACTTTTTCAGTTAAACCACCTTCCATCATTCTTGCTAATGTTTTTTCTCTACTTTGAGCTTGTGATGCACGACTACCACTACCAAAACGTGCAATAAAATTTTTTGTTTTTGTTACTTGTTCTTGTTCCCATTGATATCTTTTCATTTGATTTGTTTCTAATTCTTGTCGTGTTTGAACATAAGCATCATAATTACCCTAAAATATTCATGAATGTTTATTTCAATATTTAACAAGAAAAAAAAAAAAAAACTTTCTTTAAAATTCTAACTTACACCATAGACAAAAAGTTTCTTTTTTGTTAAATGCACAATATTTGTACAAACACCATTAAGAAAATCTTGTGAATGAGAAACCATAACAAGAATACGTTTATAATTCCGAAGTTCTTCTTCAAGCCATACACAAGCATCAAGATCCAAATGATTAGTTGGTTCATCTAGAATAAATAAATTTAAATTAAAGAATAAAAGAAAGAAGTATCTTACCAAGTAATAATAAATGTGGACTAACAAAAAGTGCTCGTGCTAGAGCAATACGCATTCGCCATCCACCAGAAAAATCTTTACATTTCTTATGTTGCATTTTTTTAGTAAAACCTAAACCGTGCAGAATTCGACCAGCTCGAGCTTCAGCCTAAGAAATAATAAAAAAAAACTAGTATTTTTGTTTTGTTTTATAAAAATAATAATATATTTACTTTGTCCGCGCCGAGATCATCCAAACGTTCATAAATGTCAAGTAATAGTTCTTGAGCCTCTAAAAAGATAAAGCAAATGATTAAACGATGATCAATTATGAAAGTCGAAAAGATATTTTATTGTGTATTTCTAGGTTTTGATGTTTGTTTTTTTTGCTAATATTCACTATGGAGTTTTGTTAGAATCATTTCCTTTCCCTCGGGCACGAATAGATCAATAATCTTAATCGATCAAATATTAATGAAGAAGAATAATATTACAAATATACCTTGAAGTTAAAGATGTATACAAGAAAAAGTATGTATTAATTTCATAACAATCTATATTGTTTAAGCTTTCCCGTCAAAAAAAAGGCAATTATTGTCAAAAATAAATATAAAAATTGATATAAGTACATGAGACGATAGCTCGAGGGCTGATTTTTCATAAATGACATGATTTTTTTTTATTAGGGATCTGTTTTTTTTCCAAAAATTTCCGTTATTTTCTGATTAACTGGTATGTTTTCTTTCAAAGAAGACGAAAAGTCTATTTCAATTTTTCTTTGTTTATGGTTTTTGATCGCATATCCTTGAATTCTCGAAGGATCTTCATTGTAATCAATGGTTTTTATTGGTTGAAATAGTATATAAAAATGCAGGGCATGACAAAGACTCTATTTTCTTAATTAAGTTTTTCATCTATTATCTGAAAGAATAGTTTTATAATTGAAATGTCACTTTTTTTTCAGATTTTTTCAACTCATTGAACTTTTCATCCCTTTTCTTCACTTAAAAAATTAGAATTTAAAAAAAAAAAATTTCTGTCAATGCGGTGCATTCTGACATGCTCTTTCAAACCAACACAAAATGAAGCATACAGAATGAAGAGTCATAGAGAATTTTGACTTTTCAAATGAAGTAGGCTTGATTAAACTTGTTTGTTGAATATCTCCCGCAAACATCATAATATGGGACTAAAAGTTTTAGCATAGACTCTCCACTACAATTCCAACATACCCTGAAAATTTTATACGGTTTGAATGTACTTCGTTCAAGGTCAATGTTTTGATGAGAAATGTTAAAACTGATCATATTTCATCAAATTTAATATTGATAGAATCAAAATTATTTTTTCAAGATTTAAATAAACAAACTACTACTTGTTTCTATTAAGCAACATTTATAATATCTATTATGATCTATAATAATTTGATCTATTTTTTTTTTGTTAAGATGTTTCTTTTCTAGTTGACGTTTCTTAAGGGCAATATCTTTCAACGATCAACATTTCTAAATGATATAAAGCTAATGAAATAGACCTTCTTATACAGAGACATTTTTCAAGCATCTGTGTTGATGAATAAATATGACATAATGCACAATCATCGTGTCTCCTCAAGTACTTAACATTTAATAAAAGACAATATATGACATTACTATTCTCAGCACTATACACAATGGCATTGAGCAGCTTCATATAAATGTTTCCTATCATAAGCATGTTAAACATAGAATTTTTAGTGATTGAACCGATTTATTTGTTTTCTTTTATCTTTTAAGAAAATGATAAACTCAGTCAAGATCATAAGACTTAAGATATTTATCGCATATGTTATATTGTGATGACTACATGCTCTGAATCACGATCTTCTATCAAACCAATTATGCGCACAAACAATCTTATATTGACACTCATCCGACTTTTTTTCTCTTGCTATGATAAAAAAAAATAATAATTAATTTCATCTGTTGTTTTTGGTATATAAGCATACTCTTCGGTTTTCTTCATTTGTTTTTTTCCTTTATATTTTATTTTTTCAATAGATAATATTATTCATTGAAAAACAACGAAAAATGACCAGTTCGTTGTACTTGATCCAATGTTGATGTGGCGACAATCACAAAAATAACTTGCCACTTGTCACTGTGCTTAATCGTATAGTGTGCCAATTATTATGATAAGGATAGAAAGAAGACAAATAGCTTTTACTGAATAATTTGTTTCAATCTCTGCCTATCGACAACTCAAGTATCACGAAATAAACAAATCCTTAGTTAGTTGTTCTATTCGATGTTGCTCGAGAGAATAAATTATCGACTCTGCCGTTAGTTCAAACATATTTTTACAATCGGATTAACCAAAGGCAAACGGCTTATCTCTCTCGTAGTAAACATTTTCTACTCCGCTAAACAACTTGTATTTATTGATAGAATCAACGACAACAACAACAACAAAAAAAATATGACGTTCATTAGTAGCCGTATCTCTCTAGTAAGATAGACTTGTAGCAATAAAAGATGAAAAGCAGGAAGAAAAAAAAAAACTGTGAGTTTTTGTCTAATTGAAGAAGTATTTAAAGAGAACTGACAAAAAAAGAAAAATGATTGTATGTGTAACATGCACACGCAGTCAGTAGCAGGAAGTATTAGTCAACAACTCATCGTTCTTTTACATTGCTTTTTCTTCTTCTTTTTTCTTCTACTGTCGTCCTTCTTCCAACAAAAAAAAATATGACGAAGAAAAAAACAAATGATAGCTGCTTTTTGACACGCATTTCTCATCAATTAAAACAATAAGTCATGAATCTTCTTATCTACTTTCTCGACTAATAAATTTGAAGTAATAATATCATAGTAAGTCCTATTGACTATATAAATATAGTGTTATTTTTTTCGCTCATTTCTTTTTTTTCTTCTATATAATCTCACTATGGTATAAAAAAACATGCATGCTTACATAAGGTTTTCTTTCAATTATCAGTTCTTAAAGTTAGCCTTAAGGATCGTATTGCTTTTTTTTTCTTATATGATGCGATGACACTATTGCATGTATGCGGGACGTGACATCAGCTTGTTAGAGAATATTTAGTTTTGTCTATACGCCTGCATATGAAAGCTAAACATAAGGCATGAAGAAGGACATCAGAATACTAGTGACGAGAAACAACATCGGTAATTCTTTTGTTATTTATAAAAAAAAAAAAAAAGAAAAAAGAAGAACACTCGCTTTATCATGACAGATATTATCGTCAGAACAGCAGATAGATTGATAGATAGATAGATAGATTGATAGACATATATATATAGACACAGTTCAACAAAAGCACCAGGAGAATGTCAACAATCATTGCTGTATATGTAACATAATTGGGACACTTGACAATGTGTGGTGTGTCTGTGCAGATAGAGTCCCATTTCTTTTTCTTATTTAGACGACTAAGATATTCTTCTTTTTTCTTCTCTTATTTTCAGGACATTCAATACTCATGCGCTTTTTTCTTTTTGTTTCCCAATCAATATTCTAATCTTGTCTGCTAGCTTTTTTTCTTCTTTCTTATCTCATCATTGTTACATATAACAATCGGAACGGAACGAAACGGAACCGGCGCACGTCTTTTTATGCCAAAAAAAAAAGAAGAAAAAAATCGAATTATTAACTTTTCTCTATATGAAGCCACTTATTACTTCACATAGATCTTTTTTTCTCTTTGCTTTCTTTTCTTTAATAATCAATTGTATGCATCTATCTATTTCCTGCTTTTACTTTTCTAATTCAAGGTAAGAACAAGTATAGCATCATTTATTGACTAAACGACTGTAATTTTCTGCACGAAGAACTTATTCAATTTTCCATAGACGGATAGGAATGTCTAAGCTTCGTTCATGCATTTATTCTCGATTCATATTTCCTCATTTCTTCTAGATAAGACGCATTTCAACAAAGAGAAGAAGAAAAAAAAGGAAGACTATTATTCAACAAGAAAACATTTATGTTCTATGGAAACCTCAAGACATAGTCGTGCTTTTCTAGCTTACAATAATCATAATTTTAAAAATAATCCATCAATAACAATACCAACAACACCAACAACTGGAGAATCACTAGTCCTTGATCATATTTCATATTCATCGATAAAAACAACTATTGAAAAAGTTCCATCACATCCACCATCTCCTAATCCGAATAATATTGTAAAAGCAATTCCAATGCCAGCAAAACGGCCATCATCAATCACTAGTCTTGTTCATTTATTGCCACGTCGAAAAAGTTTACAAACAACAGCATTAGCTTCACAACGACAAAGTCTTTGGATGAGTATAGCTAAAAATGCTCAAACAAATAATACTAATTTACCTCAATTTCCATTACGACAACAACAGTCAAATTTAATACGAAGAAAGCTTTTACGTTTATTACTTGTTTTTAGTTATTTATTGTCAATATCATTGTTTGCTATTGCTTTAGCAACATTCTATGGTTTTTTTTGGTCTGGTTATAGTACAACACAAACAACAATAGCACACGTGTCAACTGTTTCATCAATTGTTTCATTAAAATCAAATTCAACAATCATTGATATTGGTTTATCACTTAAAGATGTTAGTTCAAATAAATAAAATAAACGTCTATTTTGTTTTTTTTTCTTCTCTCTAGGATCTAGTATTTGAAGTTTAATGTGATAAATATTATGCATCATTCGATGTATTCATTCATCAATGTTGATTCATCATCCGTCCTGTAACAAGCTATTATTCATGGTACGGCAATTTTTCAGTATTTCTCAGTAAGATAAAAAACAAGATAAAATTCGAAGAAAAAAAAAACCAAGAGAGAAAAACAAAGGCAGAACTTAATTGATCTTATTCTTTTTTTAGATGTTTTTTGTTTTCTTTATATATAGACAAATATGATCCAGTGATGATAATTAAACAGTTTGCTCCGGTGATAACGATTATTTTGTTTTTATTTTTTCCTCCCAGTATGTTTTGTTGCATCCGGCTTCCGTTATTTTTTGTCTATATATGTACATGTGTGTTTTTGTTAATTAGTTATTTTCAGAAAAAAAAAACACAGATTCTATCACATAATTTCGTATTAGCTTACCATGATCATTACTTAAAGCTGCTAAATGTTCAGCTTCAGCTTCGAGTTTAATTCGTTCATGATCAACTTCCTTAACACATTCTAATGCTGTTTTATTTACTGGTGCCATTTCACGCGATAAATAGAAAATATCAATATGTTCTGGAATTGGTACCTAAGAAAAAAAAAGAAAAGTCAATATTGAAAAAATCATATTTTTAATAGAGTTGCTTAACTAGAGGCACTTGCTAAAAGATCTGATTTCGACAGGGTACATTAGATATTGATGAAACTTTGCATAAATGTTCGGTTCATAAAAGTCCATTAAAAAAAAAACTATTTTCACGCTTCCATACCTTACCATTCAGGAAATTTCCAGGAACTAAGCTACAGAACTCGGGTTGATTTCATTTGAAAAAGAACCCCTGATCACTTCGAATGAAGGCAAGAATTTTTCTGTAATTTTTACTCTGTTTTATTTCTCAGATTATCAAAATTTCAAAAGTCTAGAAATGGTAGGTATGACTTTCTGGAAAACTCAGAGTTTCTTTAGCATTGACAATTAATTAGAAAAGTCCTTTCTTTCATCTGAAAGAATATACATATATCTATCGATTTAAAAAAAACACCACAGTTCTCTGGTATGTAGTATATTGATAAAAAATGCAAAAGAAGTTTTTCTTTTATGTAGTCTTCCTATTATTACTTATAATGAAGATGAAACATAAAATATATTACATAACAATCGAACCACTTATTTATGTACATCAGATTGTTCTCGTATCAGATACATTCCTGTTTATAATTGACTATATGTTTGTTATACTATTCAGCAACATAATAATGGTTAGTAACTCCTCATAAGATATTATACTACTTTATTTTATGTGAAATACCTACTTTGAGGGTGTTGATGAGGAGTAGATCTATATCAACATCTTCTAGTCATTGAAAATCTTAAAAGTGTGTCTCTAAGATGCGCAAAAGTTGACTATCTCTGCAAAATGTTTGTTTATTTTGCAAATTTAAATTTACAAAAAAAAATTTACTGATTGTTCTAGACATCATTATTGGTCCAGATAGTTTCAAAGATCATTCATAACAGCTTCGACAATCGAAACTTTTTTTATGAATCCTTGCACCAAACACCTTAGGCATCATGTTCATATGTTTACCTCAAAAATCATTTTTGTTTTGGTGAAAATCGAGTTTTCTTCGAGGATGTGTGTGTGGTTATAGATCTTCTCTTACACACATATCTCAAGGTCTAAATACACACTCATACTTAGACTCGCTCACATCATCTAACTGTTGCAATTTCAAAGAGTAGGATGTTTTTGTTTCCAAAATTTTCATTTTCGGCGTTATTCTGATGCTTTGACATTTAATAATATTTAAGCTCTTTGAAAACTTTCTCATATGAAACTTATTTACATTTCCTAAAAGGAAAACTTTTAGGTAGAAAATAATCGAAGTTTGATTCGAAGAGTTTATTACATTTTGACTTACAATAGATTCGATATAAAGACACTTATAATTTCATTAAATTACTATAAAATAAAAGTCAAGATTTTTTTTTTGTTTCGTTAAGAAACATGGAAATTTATACGAGACAATTTCTTTTGCGTAAAATAGTTTCGTTAGTTATAGTTCTACTAAATTTTTACCTCTCGATTTCCAATAGCAGCAAGTATAGTTGATTTTCCTGATCCATTCAAGCCAACAAAACCATATCGTCTACCGCAATTCATTTCAAAATCTGCATCAGATAAGATTTCTTGTCCATGAAAAGTAACTGAAAATTGATTAATATGAACATCCCGACCACTAGGATGACTTCCGAGAACACCTTTAACAAAAAGCAGAGAAAAGAGATTTATAAAAGAATAATAAAATTTTTTGTTATTGTGTACCAGTGCATGATCGTGCTTCGGCATTTGCTTTTTCAACCATAGTTAATAAATCAAGATTTTGTATTAGTGATTTAACATTTGGATCAACATCATTTGTTGCACCATTTACTTCATTTGTTTTACCATTTGTTTCATTTTTTGTTGTTCCATTTACTTCATTTGTAGGGTTTTCATTTTCATTTTCGTTTTGAGTTTCAGCATCATCATTGTCATCGAATAAATCATCATTATTTTGATCAGCATTAGAATTATTTGTTGTATTGGGTTTTTTACTTGATTGAGCTTGTCGTTGTTTAGCGGCAGCTTTTTTTTGAAGATCACGTTTCTTTTTTGCATCGGACGGCATTTTGCTGACTATTAAATAATCTACAAAAGAAAAATAGTCCTAATAACAATAACAATAATAATTGTATCTGATGTTTTATTTATCTGACAACAAAAAAAAAGAAAAAGAAAAAACATTTTATCTGATAATTAAACAATATGTTCAGCAATTTTTCTTTGTATTAAATGTTCAGCATCCGATGTTAATACATAATGTTCACTATTAAATGTTAATTGTATTATTGTACCATCACTTGTTTCATATGGACCATAGTCTTGTATACATTTAATATGTGCAAATAATTTTTTTGGTGGCATCATAAATGTTGTTAAATCAAGTGAATGATTATTACCAATTGAACGCATATATGACGATAGTGTTTGATTGTAATTTGAAAAGAATTCTATTTCATCTATTGATAAATTATTTCTTATATGTTCTGGTAAAACAGGTCCTATTGACCACCGAAATGATTTTATTTTATTCATACGATGATATGCATATGCAAGTAAACAACGTTTTATACGTTGTATAGCTGCATGACGAATACTTATTGTTGGCATTAATGTTGGTGCAGAATTTGTACTATTATTATCTGTATCGGCTTGTACAACTGTTTGAACATCTTCATAATTTTGACGAAATAATTCATTTGCTTCAAGTTGACAAAGACGAATAGTTTCAATATTATAAGGAGGTAATATTGTATCACGAGAACGATCGAGTTCTTTGATTAATTCGTGAGCTTTAGCAGCAAGCATCTGAAAAAGACAAATTTATTTAATAATGAACAAAGAAAAAGAAATGAAAAAAAAATCGATTTTATTGCAAATCATTAAAATCATACGAACTATATCGACAATGTTGGCCATCGTTTATACCTTCTTGCTTTTTTGCTCAAATCGTTTGAAAAAATTCAACAAGAGAAAAAAAACGAAAATCAATAACCATTGTATGAAAAGGAAGAAAAAACAAGAAAAAAAAATCGATAATTTCAAAAATAGGAATAATAATAAAGAAGAGCCCCTCGTTTCTTTTTTCTTTAGTGATATAATAAAATAAGCAATAAAATGAAGAAGACCAACAGTAAAAAGATCGTACGCGTATACATGTCTATTCAGAACAACAAAAAAAACAAGTTTTTCTTTCGTTTCACACCCACTGCACAGGACCAGTACATGTCGAGCACACATAAAGATTTTTACCAATAAACGCTAATTTAGTTGTTGATGAATTATCAGTTTGGGATGATGGATTATTACTTTCGCCTAATTCTTTAAGTAAAGTTAAAATACGAGTTTTTGTTTCTGCATCAAAATTAGACAACGATGACAATGAAGGTGAAAGAGCAATTGATAATTTATCATTGTTTAATGGAATAGTCTGTTCAGACGTTGTTGATGAAGATAATGTACTATCGACCATTTCAGGCCATTCTAAAAAACAAAAGAAAAAGCAGAGATCATACATAAGAAATTTACCATCGAACATAATTCGTTCACCTTGCCAAACTCATTTCTCGTAATAATATAATATAGCATAACCTCTCTATAGTGAACATTCTTGAACTTTTCAAAAGTGTCCACTATAAGGAGGCTAGACTTTCTCTAAAAACTTTTTTTTACAAGGAATAGACGCGCTTTCATAGCATTTGAAGGGTGTTAGTGAATAAAAAACTTAACTATTGCTTATTGCTACTTGTCTATTCATGCATTTTTGTTCTTGGAAAATTTCTCTGGCTTGGACGTCGTTAGGTAGAACCCATCGGGTTGGTTCGGCACCAATGGACTCTACTCTATACATTTCTGAGATGAGCCGTTTGAGCAATGTGTTAAGTTCACTAGTGATCAAATTTAAAAAGCCAAAAAAAAAGTATCTGATTTCTTTGGGACGGCTATCTAATTCCGATTAGAAAATTTGATTGAAAGTATTAGACTCTGATCCGATCAGGTTTGAGTCCAAAAGTTTCAGACCCAATAGGCTCTTTTATTGAAATTGTTGAAAAATATGCACTATATAACTAATTATACGACGATGTATACTGTTGAGAGGTTCATTTTCAGATGTGGTAGCTGAGACTTCCAAAGTCGTCCACTATATGAAGACTTTATCTGTAAATAATAATTCTTTTTCTAATCTAATTGAAATTAACTAATGTTTCGACACAAGAGAAAAATATCCAAAAAATTCGAAACAACTGTTTGGCTCAGTACTAATGATGAAATGATTTCTACAAAGAATTTCTTCTCTTCAGATTGAAGACTGAACTTGAATACATCATTGCCAAACATAGGAT